ACTGTGATGTGTTTCTTTTTCGTCCACCATACCCCATTGCACAATATATCCATATTGTTTAAACATCCTTTAGCGATACAGTTAAGTATTACTTATTGTGTGGAGGTGATCAAACAATGAGCTTGGATGACTTCTTCTCCAGAAAATATGCCGAGAGGCCAGCTGGCCACACGCAAAAACATCCACACAATGGAAAGGCCGAATGGAATCTAAAAAGCCAACTCATTGATGCATTTCCACATATGAGTCAGTTGAGCACATACACACACACACACACAGGACCTGGATGTGACAACAGTCTGGTGAGTTCATGAGCCCTTAACATCACATACGGTATATCCTGCATCACCTTTTATCACAGGGGTTGACTTGACAGGAAGTCAGGTCATACCTTAGTGGGAATCTCGCAGCTTTATGCCGTCGTAATGGACGGAACATTTCCTGACTCTGTTGCTATGATACAAAACAGCTGCTTCGGGGTCATGGCTGTCTGTTATTTAAAAATGTTCAACATGTGTTTAAGAAGACTGTTAGATCATGATATTATGATGGATCTGTAAAATTGAAAACTTTTATTGTTTACAGTTTTCATTATTATTTTCATTGTATTCAACATTTGCCATGTTGAAGCCATAGGTTTGTACAGCAATGTTGCACATATTTACAAACTTTGCATTAGAAAAATCTAATTATTGAGTATTACAGATAGTCATAGTTTTTCTTGCATAAGCATGTACTCTCAACAAAGGCCTGACATGTAAGTTATGTAACATCCCATCTTGATCTGATCAGCTGCAAGTTATTTACACCTTTATCTCGTGAGAAGAAAAGGTTGTAGTTTTCCAAGTTAGGATGCCAATAAGCCACTGTGGTGGGAAAGCCACTGGGCAGAACTGAGGCACGATAAATCTGACAGATAAGTCACAGCATGTGGCCAGACAACATTACAGAATTTTGAAAAGGTTTTAGGACTGTGAGAGTTCAGAACATGATGTGCTGATAAACTTAACAATTTGTTTCCACTAACACTTTAACAGATTAAGGTCATAAGTGGGATCCGAGACCGCATGACCAGGATACACAACACTAAGAAAAGTTTGCAGTCTTTGTGATGACAAGTTTCTGTCAAAAGTCTATAATGAGGCTGAAGCCTGAATTTTTCTTGGTGGTCTGGTCAGTGCGTGTGTGAGTGCAAACGAACAGCAAAATGCCCCAAAATTAAGCCTATGAAATAAATAGAGTTAATTTCTAAAATGAACAAGCAGTTTTACATCAGTCAATAACTGTGTAAAAACTAATTAATTCTGATTATATCGAGCCTCTAGAACATCTTCAGTAAGAATAGGCAACATTAACAAAAGCAAATTGGACATTTTTTTTATACCTTTGCTGTCAAATAAAGCACATTTTTTAACAAAAAGGATGGGCACTTGATCTGACCTTCTTGGCTTAGTGGCTTTCAAGTTATTCATTTATGGAATAAATCATAAAAATGATATTTTTTTGTCTTACAATGAGGTGAAACAGGTTCACCAGCTTGTAACGCAGAGAATGTCTCTGCTGCTATTTGTATATTATATCATTATGTCTGCATGTGCTTGTTTGTGCAGTGTGTGGGCCCAGACAATAGGCCTTTGTATCTTTGCATCCTATTTTGCTCTTGCGCATTGGCACACACAAGCAAACACCTCATCTACACACAGTTCCTCCTGGCTTCCGTCAAGTTACAACAGTTCACAGACAGCAAAACAGGAACAATCTGATATTCTCTTCCTGCATCACATTTCCTCTGTCCCTCCCCCACCAAAAAAAATCTCCTCCCAATACTGAGACAAGCAAACAGATGAATGAAAAGGAAAAATAAAGAGTAGCTCAGATGAATTAGAGAGGAGGGGGATACTGGCAGAGGAGGAGATCGATGTAGCTGCATTGTGGATATATGTGTGTGTCAGTGTTTGTGTGAATGTGGGTAAAGTGTAGTGAGGATGGGGGCAAAGATCATGTGAACACAATAACACTGAGGTGACAGTAGGTATTGTGTGTTGATGCTTCACTGTGATATCGAGGGCCATTATTTCAAGTTACGTTGTGGAATTTCGTTTAAAAGATAACTTTTTAATTTTTGAAAATGTTGAAAATAATCAGTATTTATCTAAAACACCAGTTATGAGTTGGTTCTGAATTAATATATTACTTGTATATTAATAATTAAAGCTACAATCAACAAATCATATAAATGTCAGATTATCATTATTTTCGTCGAAGTCACTGCCCAAAACAGAGATAATGGTAATAATTTTGACCAATTAGTACAAAAAGTATACAAATGCAACAAAGAAAAGGAAAGCAACGATTTTTTTTAAAGTACACTATCAATAAAGAGATAAATTAGGTGTTTCAGCTTCAGTATTTAACATAAATTTTAAATTACAAATGTGTTGGGGAGCCAAACCAGATAGCATCTGTTGATAAAGTAATTGGCAAAAAAGCAGCATTTTTTGTTATGAAGTGTAACGTTAAGCCGACATGTGATTGTTAGTGGAGCAGGTTTATATCTATTTTAAATGTCTTTTTTCAAACAAAAAAACAAAAACATACCTTAAAATATATATTTAATTATGTTTAAGTTCTATAGAAACATACAAATGAGGTATAAAACAAAATGAGGGCAGGTTATGTGTGCAAAAAAGAAGAAATATTTCTATACTGTACAGTTGAGAAAAAGGCAACAGCCTTTACTGCACAACTTGCAAAACAAAGTTAATTGTCACATACATTGTGCTGCTAATTAAGTGCCATACCTACCATGAAAGGTCATAAAGGAGCTGCTTTAAAAGGTACTCTAAAACACTCACATTTACTCTAAGTCAGACATGCACACCCCTACACACTTACACAAACTCTAAGCACCTGATGAGCTGCGGTTCTGAAAAAGGAAGTGAAAACTCAGTCCATCTGCTTGAACAGGAAGTCAACAGAAGCCACATACAGCCATGCTGACGTCAATCAGAGCCACAGGAACACCTCCCCAAAGCCCACACACACACTCAAACAAACACACACACGCTTTACTCAGGATGATGAACATATGATGAACACTGACTTATATCAGATGTCTCATCTGTGCATGATTGTAAGATTGCATGAAGCAAAGTTTAGATTCAGTGAACCTTTGAAAAAATCCCCTATTTTAAACACACATCCACTCAATGAAAACACCTAATTACAACCCGAACGACTAGGCTTTATTCTACAAAATGAACATTTTTAAATAGGACTGTAAATAGATATTAAATATATAGTCAACCTAAACTGAATATATCATTCACAGAAATCTAACGCTGATGTAATATAAGACAACCTGGATAGTGACACACTTCGAGAAAAAGAGAAGAAAGACAACCTTTACCAATTTACCCAAATACTCCATTTTTGAATCATCGTCCTATGATATCATTTCTGACCTATGGAGTTTCAATCAAAACACGCACTAGACTTAGTTTCATTGTTGCTCATCTTGGTTGCTTTTTAAACCACATGTTTGCTATTGCTGTCAATGTTCTGATCAGAGTCAGGTGAAAAAAAAACTTTTACAAGACATTTACATCTGCTTTTATGATTAAGAAAACGTTAAACACGTCAATTCAACTCATTTGGGTCAGCGACATTAACACACATTAACACATTAACACTAACACTCACATTAACATTCCTATGAGAATATATGATGTGGATATATGGATTTATAATACATGTAACACACTGATATGCAAATGGGGGAAAGATAAAACTTAGCCAGCATGTGACCATCTTCGTGGGTCACACAACTACCACCCCTATCAAGTGTGCCATTTACTGTATGTATCCATTCCGTTGCAGTCATGTCATACTTATACTTCTTGTAGAAAAATCCTTGTAATTCCTTGCTGTTCAGCTTAATGCTGTAATAACGGTCAAACGTTATTTAGCCTTTGATACAATTGTAAACAGCTCCATTACTTTGTCTATGTTAAGAACTGAAACTCTTACTAAAGCTCTATCTGAAGTTCTACTGAAAACGGTGACGAACACAATGACTAAAATAAGCTGAGGTGATTAGAGGTGTTGATTTACGATGAGTAAAACAAGACGCTAAAAACCCACTGTCGAAATGGGCTGGATATAATTCCACAAAGGCATCTGTTTTTAGCCCAAAAGTGCAAAAGCTGCTGAATGACACGTATATCTTTAATCTATTAATCAACTTAATCAATAGCATTTTTATTGTTTTATCAAATCAATGATCCATAGGAGAAGTGTTTTTAAGAGTAGTCATCACCGATCACAACTCACATACAGTTTTGATATGAGATAAAGTTGTTCTTGCTTTCTCACTTTCAGTTGGTAATTATTTATTTTAAAGTTTCACAGATGGGCGTGTCTGTAGAAAATGTTCCTGACTGTGCCAGTGAACCAACTTAAGTACATATAGGAGCAGTCAGCAGTGATACGCTTACAGACGCATACAAGCTTGACAACACATCCACAAACACTAGGCCGTACAGGCCTCAATGTGTACTAAGTACTGCACAGAAAAAGCACTCACAGCTGCTTAAAATCAAACCCGATGACAGACCAAAGGGGAGGTTTGCTGTCATCTTTGAGTGAGCTGCTTTAATAGACCCCGCTGTGTGTGAGTCTGCATGTACTTGGGTGTTTGGCTGAACTGCCAGTTTAATTGTGTTTGAACAAGGTTAATGAGCTTGACGACAAAGCAGTCCGGACAACAATGTTGGAGCTGAAGACAAATGGTTAAAAAAGTGAAAGTCGGCACGTAGGCAAATTCATGAAGAAACGAAAAGGTGTGTGTGTGTGTGTGTGTGTGTGTGTGTGGAGGGGGGGGAGTGACAACTGATGAGGACAAGGAAAAAACTGTGGTAGATGAATGCCCAAACTAGATGTGAACCAGATAAGTTAAAACTTCACAAACAAGTAAGAAGACATTCCTCAGAGCTTCTTACCTGGGAGACAAACTCTGGTGATTGGAGGCTGAGTTGTTGCTGCAGGAGACCTCCTGGATGAACAAAAGCGAGAGAGAACCAAAACAGATGTCACAAGGTTAAGCTCAAAGACTTAACTCAAAGACTACACATGCAAAGAGACAGTCAGCAGGGCTGTTTTAAAAATAGAGCTTCTTCCTATTTTTCCACATTCCTGCACAGCACATGAGTTAACTCGCGGAAAAATTCCTGCAAAATATAAGATGATTTCATTTATTTGATTTTTATTATTTGTCTGTCTTTATTCGTAGGGCCTTTTACCTTGAAATCAATGTGCAACCAGTGAAAAGAAAGCAAAACCATTGTTTTTAATTGGTATCTTACTTGGTTAAAACATTTCTAATTTTTTGTCTGTTGTGACTATTAAAAGCATAAATAATGAAGGCTTTTCTATGCCTAACAAAGAGATGAAAAAAGTTAAACAACTATTACTTATTCATTATACATTTTTCCCACTTTGTTTTTTAAAAATTACATTATTTTCAAATCAATAAAAAAAAACTAAATAACAGAGTTTGAAATGGAAAACATTCTCTGATAAGTTATGTATAACTTTTTTTAAATTCTTTAAAATACTTTCAATTGTACCTGAATATTCTGTTCTAACCATCATGTTTGTATACACCAGCAACCAAAACCTGTAGGACCATTTTAGCAAACTAACCTAATGATGTGATTGCATTCTGTAGAGCAGTATTATCACTTTTGAAGTACGCTAGGAAGAGGCCGTGCATCAGTAGTTACAGTACAGATTACTGATTTCACCCAAAATTTGAATAGAATTAGCTCCGTAGCAAATATTTTTGAAAACTTATATATAATCTTTTCTTAATTTTTTTTTTCATAATTAAATAATTTTCATATTGAAAGACCAGCAATTTTAAGTCTACCTGAATGTCTCCTTGACTCGTATTGACTTGTAAAAAAATAAGAACAAAAATAAAAAGTTTTTATGATGAAGATGCCATACAACTGCATTTGGCATGGGCCAATTCACAATATTCCAAAGACCAAGTCAATATATTCCAGAAATCACGACCAACTGTACATTTCAAATTTATTTACTTTCCCTTTGGGCTAAATAAAGTATTTTTAACTGTATTGAAACCAATTTTAAATGTAGAGAAAAATACTAGACACATCTTCCTGCACAACTCTGTGTCTCAGTCACCCCTCTTTTCCAGGGATGTTAGATTTGAATGTAGGTCAAATGAGCTTCAATAAATGCAGTCAGCTGGGTGTTAATACAGTATGTGGTGATCAGACTGTTCTGTAGATATTTTTAGTTATATGCCCTACCAAAAGAGAACATAAGGAATGGAGGCTGAGATATAGATTTCTAGAACATGAGGATCTGCAGACCAAATCCTTAGAGAGTGGCGATGGTAAAGTTGGTTTCTGCTTTTAATAGAAAAGAATTGTGCTGCTGTCCTTTGACTTGAGCATGGGCACTGGAGTTCTGAGTAATAAACACTTACTGATGAGGTTTTCCATCTATGCGAGTAATTCAAGGATTTTTGTTCAGAGCACTGAAAAACCTAACATACATAAAGAAAACATGCTCCAGAAATGGAGAGTTAAAACTGCACCTAATTTTCACTGAAGCATAATATAAAAATACATCCAATCACCTATCAAATTCACATTCTGAAATTTAACAAACCCTGATAATAATCAGCTTGCACATGTGCTGTGTGACGCTGGTATACAGGTGGCCCTCACTGCTGAAAAACTCAAGCTCTGGCAAGATGAAACAGCTGTAAAGTCACAGCCTTGGTTCATTTTACAGTCAAATAGCACCATCTTGTGGTGAAATGATGGAATTGCAGACCGAGCTCATATTCAGAACACTTCTACCAAGAATGGGTAAGTTTCCTATTTTTTCTTCGTCTTATATTTCAAGAACCACAACAATGTAGAAATTTAGAAAAGATTAAAGGACATTATCAGTCAAATCTAAGGAGTCACCCTCAAGATTATGAATGTGACATGGATTTATGACACCCTTGAGATGGCCTACATCAGACTGAAGTGTTCTTAAAATACTTACTTGCTGGAGGCACACTGGACATTAGTGAGTACAGTGAAGTTATTTCTCACACTTCGAAGGCTTGCCAAAACCTAGAAAGGAGGAGAGGCATGGTCAGAAGTGAATCACTGACTCACTAATCTTCTATTTCTTTGAGAATGGAGGTTTTAGAGCTGATAGCTGACAATACCATTTGCATGCTGATTTTAATTGTAGACATTTGCACATTTTGTTTTTTACAGCAGATTAGAATGAAAGCTTCTAAAGCCACAGTAAGCTTATGATTATGAGACAACAAACTATTTACCTGAGCGAAGGGAGTCACGATCAGGTCGTCACCATGTCTGCAAGAACATGTAAAAAAAGGAATACCTTAAGACATGTTCACAATTTTTTCAAAGCATCAGAGATTACAGCTGCCTCCTTGGACAGCTGAAATCTGAAAAAGGCAACAAAATATTTTGTCTGAACTGCTCGGATTTATGACAGTAAATACATATGTAGTGAAAGTAAAAAGAGCATGAGTTCCCTTTAAAAAAACATTATTTATAGGTTTCAAATATTTCAAATATCCCCTGTATTCTAGATTAGAGGACTTGACGAAGAAAAATAAACATGTATACATTACATTGCAACATACACTAATCTATTTCTCCCTGAATTGGTTTAATGGATCTGTTTCATATCAATGAATTTAAAAAGTGTGATTATAAGTGAAGCATTAGTGCATTAGTGTCTACCAGTCTATGAGCTTAGTGAATGTTGAGGAGAGCCGGGAGGATTGCCATGACCTCCACAGATTCTTTCCTTTATCTAACTGGAGGAGTTGCCCAAGGACAGAGGCTGGTCATGTGTCAAAAACAGGAGTATTTCCACTGGAAATAATATGTTCATTTAAACATGCTGATTCAGACAAACTTGCTTTCTCTGTGTGGCAAAAAATTATTATGTTCTATTAAATCTGAAATCATAGAGTCCGTGAGAAACTCATTGATACACATTTATAGCTGCCCTTTGATGGAGCCAAACAACTCTTTATCATCATTCTTTGCTCAACTTGAATGCTAATTAGGAACTGCAAATGTAACTCCAGTGTAGAAGAGTTTGTAAGCCATAAAACTACTGGGAGAAAGAGAAATTATCAGGTTTAAGATTCATCTGTATTAAGTTTAGATAAGAATGATCATTTGTAGTGACCCTACAAATAATATGGTGTTAAAACAAATAACACAGCAGATTAAATATACACAGGACTAAAGTAAATAGACTAGAACCCTAACCCTAGAAAAGACTTTAACTGGTAGCTCAAACAACCATGAACATATCAGACAGGTTTCTGATAATAATAGGCCTTAAAATCTTGTGTTTGAGAAAATAAATAACCTGATCTGTGGGTATGGGAATACATTTACAGCCCATTCATAAGGGGGCTGAACACGGTGCACATTCACCTGTGAAGGTTTGTCACATTGCACACCTTTAATTAATATCACCGATCCGACATGTTGAGGGAGAGGATCATGTATTTCCCCAAAGACATTTTTCCTGTTACATCACTTCAACCTGTTCTTCAGTCTAATAAACTCAAAGGCATTCATAGCTTGTTTTATGTGACTAAATTCTAATTCCCTTAATCATTTTTATTTGGAACCACTTTTTAAATGTTTTAACTGTGGCATTAAGAAAACAGCACTTATCATCAGTGTGCCGCTCAGAGCAGCTGACACAGCATTTCCTGTAAAAATTATTTTAATAATATATAATGTTTTAATATTTGTTCTTTCTATGTCTGTTCAGGGCAAAAATAAAACAGGTTTTGTCAACGTTCCTCATCTTTTTTAGTTTCCACTTACAGTTCAGAGGCGATGGAGGAGTTCCGTGACATGGACTTAGGGGAAAGTTCATAGTCGCTGTCAGAACGATAGAGAAAGGACTCTCTGCGCTGGTTGTGTCCCGGAAAATTAGTGTGGAGGACCAGACCAGAGCTGGGGGAAGCCTGGGGGTCCAGAGGGCTGCAGCTGGCAGACGGGCCATTCTCCACATCAAAGCTGAGAAAAGATAATGGCAAATTATTACGAGATGAATATTTTGTCCTTTATTCTCCAGTAAGGGGGAAAAAAGATACTGAATTGTTGTTCATATTCAGAAAAAAAGTAGGTAGACTCAATCATTTGCATGGCACACTCTCAGCTTTGCTGTTCTAAAGAACCCTGATATACGTCATCAAACTTAGAAATCAGTCCACAGAAAATCCTTTTGCCTTCCTGTAATTTTAGATAATTATCTTTGGTCGTTGGTCAAACACTGTAGAACTGGACTAGGCTTTAATGACTGAACTGGATAAAGCAAGAAAGGCAGATTAATTTTACATATCAACATCCATATCAACATCAACATTATGAACAGGCTTGACGTGACTGGCCCATAAAGAGCGAGCTGACATGCTCGAGTGGGCAGCGTCATTCTGTAATGAGAGTTTGAAAGAATGAGCCTCCTACATTCACAAGAAGTAGAAAGTGAATGGGGGGAAGGGTGTGGTGTTTCTTAAAGAGACATCACCACTGCTAATGGCTTTTCCTTTTCCTTTTGTTTTTCTTTTTTTTAACTAGCTCCGATGGACAAGTTGCATCGCAAGCAATGTGTGACATTGACGTCATCTCTCATTTCCACTTAGGTTTGAGTTTCTAAAAGTCAACCGCTTTTACTTTGTTCTACCCCCATCGCACCTTTTGTGTTGTACATAGATGAGAAGAAAAGACACTGGTTACACTATAAACTCAGACATGAAAGGTGTTTGTGAAGCCTTTATGTTGTCTATTAATATCCCTTATGCAGGCCCCCCTCTGCTCACGAGTCCAAGATATGGAACGGAAAACTTTTTTCAACAACACGACATAGAAGTTCATTTGTGCAGGATGATTATCCCCAGAGCACGACCAGATTGAAAGAAGTTACCCTGAGCAGCACTAAAATGAACTTTCACTTTAGCAAAAGCAAATATTGCTTTTCAAACAAGGGATTTTCAAACATCAAATAAATCTCATTGCATAGTTTTGTATTATCGGGAAGCTGTAAGACATTGAAATCCCCCCAAAAAGTCAACCTACATTATGCCCTTACATAAATAAAGGTTTATGTTGGTGAGGAAAACTGTGAAATTTCCCTTTCAAATTGATGGTTAAAGGTAGTAAAAAGCAATGACAAAAAATAATAAAACATTTCATGTGATACATGCTTGTTAGGAAAAACACAAAAACCTAAGAGTTACAGTCACTTTGGGCCCTTCTCTCTACTGCTGAAGCCACTGCTCTTCTGTGTTTGTGATTCTCAGCCGCAAGACACAGAGCCCTGCATGTTTCCCTGCTCCAGCACACCAGATTCAAGTAAATGGCTCTTTATTTATTATTTCAGTACAGTTTAAAGAACAGAGGAGCTTATTTGAATACGGATTGGTCACAGCGAGTAGACATAGGAAATATGCAAGTGTATGTTAAAGAAGAAGAAAACCAGGGTTTGGAAGCACTGTCCTATCCATGTTTTCAACACTAAGCAGCTATATCAGAACACAGGTTGCTTTCTATGACTTGTAAAAGTTGCTAAAGAGATCTATTTCACAAGAGCACAGCTGACTGATGTTTAAGACTCATCAGTAAACTATTCAGGTCCAGCATTATAATAACTGTACAATTTATGATGGCCCTAAAAAGCAGTGAGTCCCTTATCTCCCTCTTTAAAATTATGAGCTCAATATATTACTATTATACAACAGCTTTAGGACAACTTAATTGTTCTTTTGTCAGTCATGTTTTTTTTGCATACACAGATTCCTGCAGCTTATCAAATTACCATGACGTATAATGAATACATTCAAAGTTTCAAATTCAAATGAAAATGTTGGTTTGGCTTCAACATGAGCTCAAGTGGACAGCTCCATCCCACTCTGTGCTGGACAGCGCTGCCCTCAGGTAAAATGCTTTGTGTGGTGATCTCATTGAGAGAAGATGACGTCTGGAGTTCAGCCATTCCTCTCATGCTCCCTATGTCTTCCAACAGAAAACTGAAAGCATTTAACATTTCAAAAGGCCAGGAAATGCCTCCAAGACCCAGCTATCCAAAAAGGCTTTCAGCTAAATCAGCAACAACCCATTACCACTCACTATCTGTCACTATCTTTTGGCCAGGCCTAACCTCAAAGAATTTCTTTTTACACACGCATGCACCGGGTAACGTTTGAAACAATGAGACATATTCAGACTAAACACATTTTTCAGCGGTGTTGTAATAAAATTATTCAAATGCCCAGAAAAAAACAAAAATTCCATTTTCCCCCCTCATGTTCGACTATAACTTAATCAACTGATTAGGTATTGTAACCATGGTCCAAGTTATTCATGTGATGGGTTATGGGAAGTATGTCAGTGTTTATAACATGCTTATACAGACAGGCCACTGATGATTAATGTACTATGTTAGAAATAGCAACAAAAACAAAAAAACAACATATATTTTAGACCAAATATTATCACGATTCTCTTGTGAGTCCTGAATATCAATTTGTATGCCTTGTTGAACCCTAGATGGCACAGACGTCAAGCTCCCTCTCACTTGTGAGCCCATGGAGAAATGCTAAATATATCTCATCCTGAAAGATCACTCAGGACCTTTGGGAATTCAAACATCCACTGGCTAGCTTTTTCAGACGTTCAACTCATCTCATTCTACGGCTCCATTTACAGAATAAAAAAGATGAGAAATGTATTTCACAATTGCAGAGATGATGTTAAAGCATAGCTTTAACATAATCTAATGTAACAGACCTTATTTTAGATTGTTATTTTTCAGTGATTGCCCTGACAAAAAAGTGTTTTAATAGTACTTAACCTTATAAGACCATGAAGGGTTACTCAAGAATTTAGTCCTCAGAAATAAAACAAAAGCATAACTTAGATACACAGATCTTTGTCTCTCAAAAAGGGAGTTATCCTGATGGTTGTCAGGGGAATTCCCTCTTTATACTATCACATAACACAGACCATGTTCATTGTCAGCGGTTGTTGCTTACATAAAAACTATTCTAAATGTTAAAGAAATCTCATGTTTTGCTCTGTCAAACAGAAGCAGGCCAGCATTTCACAAAAGATTAGAGCAAAGAACAAGACTCCCCTTTTTAATTTAAAGTCTTTAAAAGGTAGAGAGGAAATGAGTCAACATGACTATAAGAATCAGACATTTGGGTTTGATTTAAAAAATCAAACTCTCAGTGGAATTCTTGTCACATCTGTTATAAATTTGTAGAAAAATAAATAAGGAAACAAACATGGAATCCTCTTGATATCAGTTGTTGTCAGGCTAACAATAGTCATCATGCTTCCAAGGGAATCAATCATGACTGAACTACTATGTGTCACTAGAACAATAAGGGAGTGCTTCCTCGGACGTCAGAATTTTTTGGTAGAATGACACCAAATTCCTTTCCCATGATCCAGCTGCATCTGACTGGTTCAGACTCCCTGAAAGGATGAAACTCTGACAGAAGCAGTGAGCCTTCTCACCATTTACCACGATGGGTCCAAGTACAAATACTACAGGAATTAGTTCAAAACAACTTTACCCAAAAGTAAAAAAAACAAATAAAAAAGAGTTTTTTTTTCATGCTGAATCATGAATACTAAGAATGGAGGACTTATATCAATTATTTGTTTTTCTTTTCATTCCCACAAGGAAATTACGCCTTTAATTTCCAGTTGTGAGACAATGGTATTGTGTTCAGCATCCTGTTTGTGATGTCTGACAGTGACTAAGCGTGAGTTAGAACACTATTTGACAAATCCTCAGCTGTAAGGATCATCCAATATAACACAGATAAAACCTTTTTCATATATGTCAACTTTGATGATTTGAAGACATAACCCAGCAAAAATCCATGTATGTTGGTGACAAACTTTATTTATGAGTGAGTAATCGTTTAACCAGAATTACTAATGGTGGCAAAGTTTAAGTTTTATACACAATGCTGCCATCTTGACTTGGTTGTTCAGAGCGTTATTAATCAGGATAAGTAATCAGTAAGTAATCAGTAAGTAAACGAGGTAAAATAAACATATAAGTGTGATGAAAAGGACAAAAATATTTTCATCCTGTTCATTCACCTTTGCCAAAGTCATCATGTGGACTTCATTTGTACGTTTTCAGAAAGGAAACACTGCTTTCAGGTCTTAGTGTTGTGTTTATTTGAAGAATACAACCCAACAGAGGCCGTTTATCGATGTTTTAGTCTGTTTAAGAAAAGCAAAGCAGACGTGACTTGTGTTTATTAGTATGAAGACATCCTACTTCAAAGCAAAGGACATGGCGTCCTTTAGAACAGCAACGATACCCAAATATATCTATAATTTATTTACTTTTTATAAACTTAGTAGCTTGATTCTAAATGGAGTTCTATACAGCGCAGAATTTTGAATAATGTATTCAATCTTGGGAAGTATGGCTGTGTGGGTAAATGCAACGCAGATTTATCATTACTATTTTTAAGTCAAATATATTGATCTTGTGGTCACATGGTACCATACACACAGCCAGTAGTCACAAAAAACACTATAAATCAGTAAGGGTCATATTTGTGGTTTGAACAGAAGGTTGTCAATTACTATCATTTTTGAAGACCTAAAAGATGAAAGACCACAACCTTTAAAGAATCTAGGACCTTGAAGACAGTTTGCCATCGATGCTGCTTTGGTTGAACAGAATCAGAATTCTGTTTATTGACAATGTGACATGTTGTGGTGCAGAACATGCAGCATATACAGAGAATGTTTTTTAGCTTAAAAAAGAAAAATGGTAAAGTTATTCAATGAGAGAAAGGTGTCAAAAAAATTCTAAATAAACTCCAGCTTAAGTGCAGGTTACAGTGTGAAATCCTGATCTGGGGCCAAAATAAGTATACAGCAAACCCCAGTACTTCAGCTCAAACATGGACACAGACTCTTAAGAAAGAAACCCAGACTTAAGCTCAGTGAAAGAGAGAGGTATATAGTGTCACAGACTGGGA